GGGGTCCTGTGTCCCCCCCTAGAAGCGTCTGTGCCCCCCCGGGGACCCCCCACCCCGGTGTCCCCCTTTTTTCTCCCCACAGAGCTCCTGAGCCGGCGGCGGCCGCAGCCCCTCCCCAGGGCCTCAGGCCCAGCCTGGATCCCCCCTCGTCCCCGTGAGGATTTTAGGGGGGTCGTGTGTCCCCCCCTCCCCTGCTGTCACTCTGCCTCTGCCTGGCTGCTCCCAGTGATCCCAGTAAAGCTTCCCAGTTCTCACCAGTCCCGCTCACTGGGGGGCAGTGGGGAGTGGAGGGGGGAGACCCAGAGGGAGGAATCGAGTTTGGGGGGGGCAGAACCGGCCCTATGATGGATCTGGAATTGGGACCCCCCTGTGTTCCTCCTGTGTCAGCCCGCTCTGAGGGGGGCTGCCCCTCAATACAGCACCCAGCTCACCCCAAAGGGTGCTGGGGCCCCACCAAAACCTTCCCACAGCCCCTCAGGGACCCCCAAACACACTCAAAGCCCACCCAGGACCCTACCTAACCCCTTTTCTGGGGGGACTTCTCTGGGCACTGGTGGTGCTGGGAGCCCCCCCAGCTGCGGGCGAGGAGCTCTCGGGTGAGCGGGGAGTGGGAAGGGGGAGGTTGGTGGGAAAAGGGGGGTCAGAGGGGACATAAGGGGTGGTGGGACCCCAAACTGAGTGGGAGGGGAGTGGGATCCCCCAAAAGTGGAGGGGGAAGGAGCTCTGAGGTTTGGGGGATGGATGATGGGAAATGGGTGGGAGAGGTCAGAAGAGTGGGGAAAGGGCAAGGTAGGATCCCCAAACTGAGCATGAGGGGGCTGGGGAGTGGGGGGATGATGTGGAAGGGGTGAGAAAGGGGGTAAAAATGGGGGTTGGGACCCCCAGAGTGATGGGGGGGGGGACTGGGAATTGAGGGGACTATAGAAAAGTGAGAGGAACAGGAAGAAGGGTGGAAAAGGGCCGGTGGTCTGGTAGGTCCGACGGTCCCATGGGGGTCTTTGGGCACAGGGACGTTGGGAAAGAGAGGTGGTCCTGCTGAGCTCCTAACTTACTTTGGGGTGCTGGGGGCTGCTGGATCCAACCTCAGCCTTGGATCATGCCAACACTTTCAGTTTAGAGGAATTACAGAGGTGTGACTGAACCACTTTTGTCCCCCAGGTTTTAATGATGGCAAATCAGATCTACTGATAGAAATGAATTATTTAGGGTTCCAAATGATCTGACAAAAGATCTTCATCAGAATTATTTACTGCACAATAGAAACACTAAAACTACCAAGAGTACAGGATAAGACAGAACAGTGCTCTACATTATATCAATTGTTAAAGCAATTCTACTGAAGCTGGCACAAAAGCAATAATTCTTAATTAGAGATGGATGTAACTCCCCCAGACCAACACTGGTGGGGAGATCTCTGCTCTCAACCTTCAGGAGTGATCCTGGGGGGTCCCCAGGCAAGGCAGGAATCTCCACACACACCCCAAGAAGGGTTCTGTTGGAAGAAGCTGCCCCTGTGAAAGGGGACTGGCCCTTTCTGCTCGAAAGGGATGGACTGACAGCCATTGGACTCCAGGGGTTGCCTCACCATCAGGGGGTCCATTCAGGGTGGAAGCAGTGGTTGATGTTCTTCCCACACTCGGGGCACTCGCAGGGGTCGATGTTCTTTCCACACTCGGGGCATTCGCAGGGCTTCCCTTACTGGTGGGTCCGTTGGTGTGAGGTCAAGCCAGAACTCTGGGTGAAGCTCTTCCCACATTCCAAGCATTTGTAGGGCCTCTCCCCTGTGTGGATGCGCCGGTGGATGACGAGGTGAGAGTTACGGTTGAATCCCTTCCCACAGTCCGTGCAGCGGAAGGGCCTCTCATCTGTGTGTGTCTGCTCATGCCTGAGGAGATCTGAGCTGGTCTGAAACCTTTTCCCACATTGCAAGCACTTGTAGGGCCGTGCCCCAGTGTGGATGTGCTGGTGCTTAAGGAGGTTGGAGCTCTGCCTGAAGCTCTTCCCACATTTGCCACACAGGTAGGGCCGTTCCCCAGTGTGGATGCGCTGGTGTTGGATCAGGTTGGAATTATTCCTGAAGCTCTTCCCACATTCCCTACATGTGTAGGGCCGGTCCCCGCTGTGGATGCGCCAGTGGGTGAGGAGGGTGGAGCACTCTCTAAAGCTCATCCCACATTCCCCACACGTGTAAGGCTGTTCCCCGGTGTGGATGCGCTGGTGTCGGATCATGTTGGAGTTCTGGCTGAAGCTCTTCCCACATTCCCCACACATGTATGGACGTTCCCCAGTGTGGACATGCTGGTGGGTGAGGAGGTCGGAGCTCCTCCTGAAGCTCTTCCCACATTCCAAGCACTTGAAGGGCTTCTCCCTGCTGGGAGGCTGCTCAGGGACCACCAGGTCAGAGCTCCGCCTCAAGCTCCGGCCGCCTTCCCGGCACAGGCTGGCTCTTTCCTCCTCAGAGCACCCTGGGCTGGCTTTGGGGCCCCTCCTGCGGGGGTATCTCCGGCCTTT